TTCGCACATACTCGCTCGCTCGTTAGAATGCTCCCACCCCTAGGCCTGCGTCAAATTGGCGTCGGTTCCTTGACCTTCCTAAGGCGCTACTCTTCATGCTTAGGTACGAGTCATACCTAACTTAGCCAGTGAGCATGTGCAACTGCCCTCCCTTTGACATGCTCAGGACCCAACTTGGTCTCTTGCCTGCAAATCGCAGCGCGTGTTCTCACCGTGATTCCAACATGCAAATGTAGACATCGCAACGAATGATGACATGGATGTTATAGTAGGATCGCATGCTCATTTCATCTGTCCATGAAAGACGTGACGGTATAGTACAGTCTGACATCGAGTCAGTGACCGCGACCATAAGATGAGCGAAGCGATGCGCTTACTGCCAATCCAGGGATGGAGCTCTTCACACATCGTAGCCACTCTTTCCCGGAACAACGCCATGCGCAGGCCCGCCCTTCCCATACATCTTCCGCAGATCGCCCGCGAGCTTGTCGGGCACTTCGAACGCTGCGAAGTGCCCGCCGGCGTCGTGCTCCGACTCGAACACGAGCTTTCCGATGGTATGCGACCAGCTGCGATAGAGTTGTCTGTGAGCCTTCTTATCATGAGTGGAAGAAAGGAGAGGCGCGTACTATTTTGGGAATTGAGCCAATTCCGCGGGGAAGTACGACACCCCGAGCGGAACAGACGTCCAGCCGGCGTGAGTGCCGATCGACTGTGCGCCACCATTGCTCATTTCGTAATAGATGCGGAGCGACGCGGCGGGTCCTGATCGCGAGAACCAGTAGATGGAGATCCACTCGAGCACTGCGTTCGTGACGGCTCTCATTAGTTTTGCAGTGATATATGAGCGACGTGTGACCGCGACCGCTCACCTTCGTCCTCCGTCCAGGGATATTTGTCCGTCCACCCCACGAGCTTTTCGTAGATCCACGCGAGCAGCCCGACTGGGGAGTCAGCAAGCGAGTAGCCGAGTGTCTGAGGACGCGTCGACTGTTGTGTCGAGTAGCCCCTCCCTGACACTCCGAATCGCCGTGACACGGCAATTCTGTCCTTGGAGGCGCGGTCAAATGGGAGCGTGAAGAGAGACCGGATGAACACGAGAGGGAATTGAGTTATTGTGGGGATGGTTCCGCTGGACAAACACAGCAAATCAGGCGACCTGTGTTCACGAAATACTAGAGCAAGGGCCTACACGGGCATGTTCGTGTGCCAGGCTTTCACGTGCTTATGTCCGTGAAGCTTCACGACGTGCGTTCCGAGCTACATGGCGAGCAGTTGCAGTCAGCCTGTCCGCTCTTGTGGAGCAGAGACGTCAAATCCCCTTACAATGTGTCCCCAGTCACCCCCTTGATACACTGTATGCGTGCCAAGTCAAATATCAGGCACATGCAACCTGTAGATTTCGCGCGTGCGTACCGTACTCGTCATACCCGAGGGACAGCATCAGCTTGTTCAGTAGCTGAACGCACACGCAACATAAGGTTAGTCTCATACCCACTCGGCAGGAGTGAACGGACCTCAGCATATTGGGCTCCCTTGAAACCTGGTTTGCGTGGTGCTTCGGAGAAACCGAACCCGGGCAGGCTGGGAGCAACGACATGGAAGCTCGGATGGTCCACGCCACCCGCAGTCAGAAGAGGCAAGATCTTCCTCACTTCGAGGAAGTCGCCAGGCCCTACAAAGTCCCATTCAATAGCTCTGTCAGTATATGTTGAGTACGCGTGTACGGGGACTGGACACTCACATCCGTGTACAAACAAGAGCGGGATCGCGCCCTTCACATCGCTCTTTTGATGAACGTAGTGCACGTTCAACGTGCCGAATTCTTCTACTTCAATGTCGCGCGTGAACATCGGAAGCATGTTGATCTCGGCCTCGGCCTTCCTCCAATCGAACTTGGTCTTCCAGTGCTCCGTCAGACGCTTGATGTCGGCGAGGGGCACGCCATAGTCCCATCCTGCGCTGTCCAGCTCATCAGGAAAGCGAACGAGCTCGAGCTTCTTCTGAAGGAGCTCGAGCTCCGCGTCTGGGACCGAGAGCTTGAAGGGTGTTTCGCTATTGGTGGTGTCCGACATCGTCAGTGGTGAGGAACAGGAGGAAGGCAACGATCGTGAAGGGGTTGATGTTAAAAAAGCCGGAGGTTCGGCTGCGACACTCGGGAACAGACAGAGATTGAATTGATTGAGTCAGCACGGTTGTCGTCATGTACACTCACGGTGGACACGGCTGTAGCTTGTGTCTTTTCCGCTGACAAACTGCCTAGAGTATCAGAACTTGGACCAGAGAAGCGCAACATCCTGAGATCGCAAACATATGTAGACCGCATGGTGCGTCCTCGTGAAGGTGAGGGACCATAACAACGATGCGGTCTAAACCTCCTTGTCTTGGCACTCCCACGACTCCCCTATTTGGCATGGATGACATCAGCATGTCCTGCGTAGATTGGCGTCGATATGTGCTTGCTTGACTCTACTTTTGTCAGTGTCCTTCAAACTTCTCTCTGGACGTCGGGCCTGGAAATCACCTTCAGGGGCTTTCAGGCTGAAGATACCCTAGCTGAGCTGGATTCGGACATGGCTTAATCATCCCGCGAATATTGGTCACGCATCAACTGCTGTTGCGAGGACAAGGCTCATGGTCTTCACTCTACTAGTGAGCATTGCAGTCTCGTACGGTGCGACCATTATCATCGCTAGTCTCATGTTGCAACTTAGCGGTCACCATTGTGAATGCTAGCGATCTGCAGGGCAATGGCAACACTAACGGTAGATCTGACTCCCTCATCCGCTCCGTGTCTATTTCCTCCCGAAATAGATTGGTTGATCCTGGACCAACTACAAGACGACAAAGTTACTCTCTTCTCCTGCACCTTTGTGTGTAGCCCCTGGCGGCTCTACAGTCAAACGATCCTTTTCCGCTCCCTTCGGATATGCTGTCCAACTGGAGCTAGCTTCCACCAAATCGTGACCTTCCTCGAAGAGGACCATGTGCCCCAGTCACACATCGCAAATAGCATTTGGCATCTAAGGCTGAATGGGGAGCGAGACAAAGCAACCTATCAGGAGTTCCCTCCTTCGCCAGAGGCCGTAATCACGATCTATGCGCTTCGTAGAATCCTAAATTTTCTCCCGCGGCTGCAGAGCCTCTCATCGAAGCTCCTCCTGCTTTCATCAGAAATCCCATCTCTATCCCCGCCCCTCGAATCTACACCTGCTCCTAATCCTCCGCGCAAGGAGCCACTGGAATTTGCTCTGCTGTGGTGCTCCTCGGCAACGGGTGACCTTCGCGACTTGTTCAAGGTTCTCAGCCTGTTTTCAGAACTGCATAGGTTGAAGATCGACAGCGGAAAATTGTCTAAGGCCACGATCCCTCCTCCAGGTCAGGACAACGAATTTCTGCATGGATTTCCTACCGTGGAGTGCGCGGAACTGGAGGGTCTCGGGCCCAGATGTATCGGGCTCCTATTCAACCAACTTCGCCAGTCGGGGCGTCCAGGGGGACGTCTTACCTCCCTTCACTTCAAGCCCGCACTTCGCCTCGACTTTGAGGCGTTAAATCCCTGAGGCGTTGAATCCCTTCCTGCACGAAGTAGGAGCGAACCTCCTCGAGCTCGAGGTGCACGTAGACTCCGAGCTGATCCGTCCCAATCTTCGTACGTCCCTCGTGTTGCCGCTCTCTAGGCCCCGCTGACTCTTCTTTTAACACACGCCCGCTTCCTCCGACGTCTACGCCTCATCACATTCAAGGTCTATCCCGTCAGCATCGCCAGCGAGCCCCGCCAATTCCCGGCGGCCATTCAGTATTACAGCTTTTGGCAAAATATGCAGAACGCGCTCGCGGGGTACCCTAACTTGAACCGCGTGGCGTTCGTATTCGTTAATAACCTGACGGCGGTGCTAAGCGAGACGAAGAACCACCTCAAGGCGGGCTTGGAGCGCTCTATGGCGCCAATGGTGGATGCAGGATTACTGGAGGTGAGGTTCGCGCAGCGAGCGGCGTGCTCCGCTGGGTTTCTGTGCCGGATACTGGAGGGCTCAGAGAACCTCGATACGCGTCATCTCCTGTGATTGTTGTGAGTTACGCCTGGGTCCTATGCTGATACCTAACTACGACGGATACTTGACGAATTGCTGCACTGTTATCACATGCTAGAACGTGGGACATACTAAGTTCCCGGGTAAATGATGGACACGTGTACGTATCGTATATTTCTTGTGGTATCATTGTGGCATTACATCGGTCATGAGCATATGTTAGAGGGTTTGCGAGCGGTATCCTTCTATATCAGAAAATAGTCTCTGGATCGCTACAGGTTGGGTGCCCTTGTGGTGCCCACAGGTGGATCGGAGCAAATGCCCGAACGGTTTACGCGACAGCAATAGGCAGCCAGACAGATAGACCCTATTCCGCTTTCCTAGCATGCAGCGTAACGCCAGTGATATGATACTCCTTCAATGATCCAGTTCGGCCAATACCAACTTCGCGATCCACGAATGGGCGTGCGTAGTCGGGCTTCGGCGATAGGTAAGCGATATGCGTCTCGGGACCTTGTTAGAATCGCAGAGCACTCACTGATATTCGTCCCAAAATACCACCTCGTCCGCATCCTCGCACAGCGTGATACCAGGCGTCTCACTATACACGCCGGTCAAGCAGCTTCCATACGTCCCGAGGGGCGTGAATCCGAACTTCTCTGGCGCGCCATAGTAGTCCCATTCGGCGAATAGCGGCAGCACGTCGACGTATCTGACACTCTCCAAATTCTTGGGGATCGATTCTCTGTACAGAGCGTCGAGTTCGGTGCTGTACTTATGGAGCGCCTGCTTCGTATTCTCGTCGACATAGAAGTCCATGGGGATGCGTGCCAGGTCTGGATAGTTGAGGAAGAGGAAGTGGGCAGAAGGGTACCTAGACGCAAGCTGCGCCGTGCTTGAGATGAGCGCGTGGAACGACTGGCTCGCAGTAATGCTCAAGTTGAAGAGAGGGTCGTTCGCGCCGCCCATGAGGACGAAGAGCGGAGCCTCGAGAGAGACGTTGGAGGGGGCGCCTTCCTGGAGGAATTTGACGACCTGCTCGTCGATGGAGCGGACGGGGATGACTGAATGGGGCCCAGTATACCCCTGGACGAGGGCGTTTGACGTGGTGGCTGGATAGAATCAGAGCGTCAGTGTGGGTTATGTGCGGACGCCGCTGAACTTGGCACTGACCTCCGCCAGTCGCGAAGTCGAGGAGTGGCACCGACAAGTTACTAGCTACGTACTCAATCCATACCGGACCGTTAGAGAAGCGACCACCGAAGCTATAGAAGCGTCGAGGTTGTTTGAGAGATGCTACTGTACACGGGTGTCCATCAACCTACTAGTTTGGATTCGCCGGCCATGTATGGTTCGACACCACCCAAGCGCCGTTCCCTGCAGAGCTCCGTGTTAGCATATTGAATTCTGAGCACGTGCCAGCCCTGCGCACCGTCGTCACTGAAAGAGTCTCCGAAAACGACAATGGCAGAATATGCAATATTGTCATTGCGAGCAGGTGATGCAATCGCCGTGCTGGCAGATCGCAGCACAACGATGACTCCCACGGCGATCGCCCGCAAGGAGACCAGCATCTTGGAAGTCAGGAAGTGTTTCCAACTGCCGACAATACTGACAAATGTCGTTCGAAGCGATGGAGGGGATGAGAGGGAAGGCGAGGAACGTGACTCCTGCCGAAGCAAATCTTTTAGTACCCTACGGAAGGCGCCAGCGCCTAGGGACGGAGCCAAGGAGAAGATCCCCAGTCGACCGTGATTTACGTCGCCGCATTGATGCAGAAAATCCTTGGAAATTTCTGATCGACTGTCGTGATGAGGAGTGGCGGTCCGACTTAGCATTACAGAATCAGTGGCCAGATGCGTAGAAGCCTACCTTTCTCTGAGCTCTCGCTGGTCTCAGCACCATAGTAATCGTACAGCTGATCTGTTTCTCGTCAATGATCGGTAGAGTTACATGTCTACTCATCTCCGAGTTCGTTGCTGCACATCGTTAGTTACGGACGCATATTGCACAATGTGGAGTATTTCAACTTGACATCTGCGACCCGGCTTATGAGAAGGAGTCGGAGGTGCCCACCTATCGGACGCGCTGTGTCTGTCGTGGTAGAATGCCGCTTTATATGATCATGGAGTGGTGGAAGCATCGTTCGCCCGCTCGGCGCTACGCGGAAGAGGCCGGGGATAGCCGAGGACGGCACACGTGGCGATCTGCTCAGTGCTCCCAACATTGTTCAAACGATAGTACTAAACTCGAGTTAGAGACCATCTCTTGGTGACCGTGCTAGCTCTAACTCCTCAAGGAAGACTTTGCTAGCTACCTTGTGGTATCTGCGTATCAGGCTTGATTGTTGGGCTCTGGTAGACCTCAGGCGTCGATACCTCTTCGCACTGCAAGAGCCGCTGCCCTTCAAGTGGTGCAGTCGCTACCTATCCTGTTGAGACCTGGTGGCAGTAGTAGGATGGATAAGGCATAAGCTATTCCTTCGCTTGATTGCGATATCCAGTTGGCTGATGTGCGCTTGCCCGCAGTTAACTTCTGAGGTCATCGAGAACTCTAGGATGGCTCTGAGTCACCGCGAGGCCTGCTGCGCCCTTATCTGCAAACAGCTTTAAGGGGAGACGAATTGGCAGGCCCCGCAGCCCGTCTTCTTTTAGAATGCTCAGACGGAACACCTATCTCAGGTGAAACGAATGGTGCTAACGTCTGCGAGAAGCGTCGGTGAAGATGTGGTGGGCAATGTATGCGTACCCGTCGTTCAAGTTCTCAGGGAGTGGAGGGGAGGTAAGATCCCCCTACAAATGTTTCAAGGAAAGCTATGGAGATATTTTGCCCTACATTGCGCTCAAACGGACCCGGCCTTTCTTCCTGAAGCTTTCTCGAGATATGGTCGACAAACGAGCCCCGCACACCCCTCGAGGCAATGGCCATTGCCGCAGCACAATAGTACCAAGGTCCGTCGTTAATTTACGGCAAATGCTGCAGAAGCTCACCGCAGCACATTGATACATATATCTGATGCTATCACCAAACCAGCTAGGCGTTGGCACTTTCACTCACATCCTACGCATCGTCATCGCTTCGCTCTTTCCTCAGTCCTCCATCATGGCAACTGAACTCCCGCCCGCCCCACCGATCCCTGGCGAAGCAATGCTAGAGATATTTGTACACCGCTCCCTCCGTAACACGGGGAATGCACTGAACCCCGACTCTGCCTACGGAAACGGCGAAAGGCTCGTCGCACTCGGGAGCAAGGTGCTCGAGGCGGTGTATGCCCACGTCCTCTTCCGCAAGAAACCCCCGATGTCGGCCGCCGCTCTGAGCGTGCGTCTCACCGGTTCTAAGCCCCTGATGTGTATCGCTTACCTGCGTGTTTTACAGATTGAACAGGAAAAGCTTCCCGAGCACGTCGCGAGATGGGTCGGAGAGTATCAGTGGATGGAGAAGATTCGACACTCGCAGGACGTGGATCTCTATACGCCAGAGGTGCGTGCTCTTCGTGTACTATCGATCCCTGCACTGAATATGATGTCCTCAGGAGACGCGCTACATCATGGATGCCTACGTGGGCGCCGTTTTCGTTGCAGGGGGTTATCTAACTCTGTACAATTGGATAGAATCTATGGTACAGGCGCTTCCGGCTGACCCGGAACCAGTGCTTCATGACGAAGACTGAAGTAGTTCTACGAGGAGAGCTGTAATGCCCTCATGTGTTTATCTACCCGGTTAATCTGCACCTGTGCTGTTGGTGGTTTACCAGTGATATGTCCAAATAGTCACGACTGGAAGTGTTGAGACTTTTCACGGAAACCACGAGTTTGTCGGGAGCTGATGTGAATGGATGGCTTTGCCTGTTATGCTGCCAAAGAACCAAGATATAATAGCGCGTAGGGCGACACGGAAGTGACGAAAGATAAGTATAGCCGCTCTTGAAGGCGCTCACACCACGTGCCGGATATTCCCGGACCTGTCGTCAAGGGAGAACAGACAATTGCGTTCAACTTGGCGATTCACCACTACTGTAGGATCGGAAGTCCGCAATCCGCGCCTCCACCACCAGACCGAAGTTCACGACGAGGCGGGACGGAAAATCGTGAAGCACTCATTCAAACCCATCGTCAGTGCTGCAAAAGCAGTTGGTGAGCATACTGATTACCAACCAAGTCAATGGTGTACTTCTAATATCTATACGAAACCGATACTCTGAAGGTATGCAATGCCAAGCACACCTGTTACGCCTCTCCATCTTCCAACGGAACTCAATCGACTGATAGTCGACCAGCTGTCCGACGATAGATCATCTCTGTCGTCTTGCTCCCTAGCTTGCCGTGCCTGGACTGGCTTGACTCGCGTGCTCATCTTCCACACCGTCAAGCTCCGCGACTTCAGGGACGCAGAAGGCTACAAGTTCGTGGCATTCCTTGAACTTCTTGAAGACAGTCACCGCCTCAAATTGGATGTCGGGATGTACATCAAGGAATTGAGCCTCAATGGGCGACACAACTTCCAGGAAACCGACGAAGACGCGTCTGCCTCCTCCCCGCTTGTTCACACCTCCCTTCGTTCTCTTATATCCCTCCTTCCGTATCTGCAGAAGTTGACCTTGAACACGCTGGAAATTGGGTCTTCATATGGCGCTTACACATATAGAGAGGAGGACGACGAGGACGAACTTGATGAGTTCGGCCCTCGACCTGGGCCGATTTCCCGCCTCAAGCTACGCAACCTTACTATTCGCTGTTGCACGTTTGATCGGACATTTTGTGCTGCCAACCTGCTGTCCATGTTCTCCCGCGTAGACCATCTACAAGTGATCCGTTCGTACGGGCTCTCCGGAGATTACAAGGAAGCGCGGATGACAGGCCTCGTACCCCCGACCATCACGTCGTTCGCTTACGACGGGGTTGACTATGCCGCACACGACCTGTTTGGTCTCCTACTCGAGCAGGACCCGTGGTCAAACTCCGGTACGCTCGAACGAGTCTCATTGCGCGGTCTGGGCCGTGGTGGAGGCAGAACTGTTCAGCTTCTGCATCATTTTTGTCACAATCTCGTCAAGCTGGATCTCGGGCTCTACCATCTCCTCTTCGGCGGTACAGGTAAGACCATAGCACCCACATATCGCTTCGGCGCGCGCTCATTGCGACTTGCTCTTCGCTCTCTTTAGAACGGTACCCCACCTCATCTTGGGACCGGTTGATGCCTGCCATCCACTCCTGCACCTCTCTGCGCTCACTCACACTCTCGATTGGCTGCGATAGTGACGAGGAATTCCTGGGAGACCCTTTACACACGTGCACCCCAGAAGGTATCCGTGCTTACGCACTGACGCTCGGCGGCTACTTTCCCGTCCTGCGTACGGTCACCTTCAACGTTTACTCCTGCCGCGTCTTCACCGCCGCAGAGATACTAGCATATGCGCGCTCGGGCAGCCAGCGCGTGGAAGTCTGGCGCGAGCTCGACAAGTCGTTCATGGGCCTGCAGGCGCTCAAGCGGGTGTCAATCATCTTGCACGACTGCCCGGAGTGCGGCCTCGAGGTTGTGCCAGACAGTACTATACGAGGGTTCGTGGAGAAGAAGTTGGCTGGGACACGTTCCGCGGGAAAGCTTGATCTCCAGCTGGGGCGTAGGCTGCCGTGCTACTTACACGAACGATTCCACTAGTGTTCCTTCCTAAGCTCCATGTAGTGTACCACGAGGATAATTGTAACCCAGAACAGGACATAGGATCATTTTCATCCTTCAGTGACCGGTCACCCGTTGTCGAAAAGCCATAACCTTTGACTTGACTCGGAACCACAATGGCTTTGAAGGAGGAGCACCATCGAGTTGCATGGGGATGTAAATTCTCAGCATCACGCGGCAGTACATCACTCTATAGAGCATGCTAGGCACGAATACTCAGTCTGGCTCCATCTTACAGCTAGTATTCTTCCTCCACCATCGAGCAATGCCCACCAAGCACTGCACTATACACTATACAGGCCGGTGGGGTCCGAATTGCGTCGTTCGGGAAAGCCCCCAGGTCAAATGAGCTCGCGTGTTGACTAACGGACTGCCCGTATGCCGCTTCGTGGAGATCCAGTATAAAGTGACAACTGAGGACAGTTGTGGAGCTGTGAAACGACGGCGGTTAGATTTGCTTACTGTATAAAGCATTTATCCTGGACTTCGGCCACTTACGCATGATAGAGCTGCCACATAGGCATATCCAGCTTGACATGACCAAGTGTGAGATAGTGCCTGATGTATTGCCTGGGACAGACTCACAGATACGTTGTGCATCGTTGCAAGGCATGTTGCATGGATGCCAAGAATCGCACTACCGTGGTGCACCATAGCATAAAAACGTGATCAACGTTGCGAACGGAGTCCTTCCACTGGCACACTCACCTAAAGTAGACCGTGCCTGCCCAGTCGAGACCCTCTCAACTGCAAATCTATGGTTCGTGCTATGAAGTCCTGCTTACCATCTTGGAACAAGCATTCTGTAAGCCGTGGCCGACAGGGCCCTTCAAGCGGGGTTTCTGATCGTGCAGGAACGGTCCGTGTCCATGTGAGCAAAAGGACGACCATGTCGGATATGACGCCACCGCTGTGCGCGAAGGCCTTCACTGTGAGCATGCACCTTTAGATATAGGAAGACAACAAGCGAGAGTGTCAACACAAACAGCTGGAGCAAGGGATTGGTGAGTCGGCCAGAGTTCATTGGCGATCAACATGCTCACATATCGTAATGACTCGTGGGGAACTTGGAGCTATATGCGCATGCACCGGTAGGCGTGGGTATCCATAAAGACGCAGCGCTATCGATCTATAAGGCCATATACGTCAAACACTATTTGTATACAAGAGATTACGGACGCACGGGAACAATCAAGATAGAAGTTAGCAGGCCTAGGAATACGATGGCCGCAAGCGTGGTCCGCCTTTCTTTGGAGATAGCGAACGCTCGAAGAGACGAAAAGACTGAACACAGCACAGATGAAGATTAGCGGGACAGAAGCACAGTTGATGATGACGCAGCGCTCACCTGCTACTGAGACAAATCCTGCTCCCGTCACTATCATTCCTGCATTGCCGAGGGCTTTGCACCTAAACTGGTGTTAGTCTTCATCGTCGGATGGTATACTAGATCGGTATGCCTACTCCTGAAGCCCGTTTGAGAACCACTTCACTGTAACATTATCTCATGGACAGAAACGTACCTCTATACTCTTTTCCGGAGGGCTGAGAAAGTAAGGGAGCACGATAGCATAGGAAATAGGCATATAGCGCAGCGAGTAATAAAGCACCGACGGGCCACAGAGACCCCGCGGCCAGATGTACCGTCTTTCACGGTCAAGAGTCAGCACGTAGTCGTAGATAATCAGTGCTGTTCAGATGGAGATCAGAGAGCGACTTGTTCACATATAAATACACGGACTCACTAATACAGATTGCCGAGACGATCGTGCCAAGATATCTAGTCATTTGCGTGAGCGAATAGCCATGTAACCGTAACGGCCTGAAACCCACTCGTAGTAAGCATCGGCGATTGCATCCTGGGACTGCAGGTTGTCGGCCATGGCTTCAGCTGAGAACAGTAACGGAGGGGTGATGACCAAGGTAGGTGTCGCAGGGAGTGTACTCCATGCAGGTGCTTTATGAGGTCCACGAATGAGACTATTCTACAGCTTCCCGCAGGTACTGAGTAAACTCGAGATTTATGATGTCAACAGTTGGCGAGGAAGAGCCACATTTGGACGAAACTGATGCTGTCTAGGCACCCTTTGCAACATGTCGCCCAAGAACCAGAGACATCTCGGCCGTACAGAAGCATCGGTACCCTTTCACGGAAGCCCACCGCCGTGCCAATGCAGACTTCTTTTTAGTCCTTCGTGCACACATCCACCCGAAGCAGATGGACTGCGATACTGCATATCTTCCTACAACGTCGTATCACGACAGGAATGACACCGAAACTGTATGTGACGGTTCAAAGATCGGAACTTTTCAGAGCCTGGAGAACGCAACTCACCACCAAGCCTCCGAAGCGGACCAGCTGAGATAGTTGATCATAGGATGCCGATCATTGTAGCGACTGTGATGATAGGTGAGCTGTGGCCATATACACTCAATCAATGACCTTCGGAAACGTCCATCCGTCACCAGGAACTAATCTTTCCGAAGGTCTGTCCAAGTCCAAACGGCGGACTTGAGTCCGCATTTGACGATCACGTCCAGTGACATTATCAGTAACACCTGCGTGTCATATACCAGCTTGTCCTCATGAAACGATCTAGTAATTGAAGCACGTACTCCCATCTGTATGGTCCCCTTCTGAGTCGCTATATGCGGCACACCCAGTGCAGTTCATGTACAGGATTGTGACGCCGAGCGCTGACATCATTTTACCACGGCTCGGGTTCAGTACCTGAACGCACGATCGAAACACTGCCAAGCATAGGTTAGAGTTACCACCGTATAGCTATACGTTGTCTAACGGCGCGTTGGACACCTCCTGCACTGGATACAGCAAGAACTTGAAGCAGAAGGCAAGCTACCAGTGGCGGTTAGATCTTCTGGCAACCTAACAGAAACAGAAACAGACACCGACAAGAAGGATCTCACCAGCACATGTCAAGTTGCTTGAGATTGTTCGACGACCGTCGGGAATGTTAATGAAGGGGCACACGGGGACCGAGAGAGTCACTACAGAGCGGAGTCGCACGTCGGAGTACGTATATTCCGTCACCGCGGAGCCCCAAGTAAGTGTACTCAGACACGGCGGAGCCCCATTCGGAGTGAATGATTGCGATGGTGGGCCGCGTGGGCGCTACTCTTCTCTTTCCACCTCTGCTTACCAGCCGTAATCCGTCGTGAGCTGTCTTCTCGGTCTCTACTCTGTTGTGCTCCCCCTGTAGCGTTCAAAATTCAAAATCAAGTGGATGGCGCTGGGGCGCGCTCATGTTTGACGTCTATGTCCAAGGGCTCTTATATGTCTTACGACTCTTCCACGGCCGCGCTTTGTCTTGAACTGCATCGACAACTTGAACTGACTAATCTTGACTTAGGGCTCAAGACGCTGTGGGATGACACGCACCACTGTGCTGCTTACTTTGGGGCTAATTGCATGTGGAAAAGACCACCTTCGACTTGCGCGCGGGCACGGCGAGGAATCGCGCGCGATCTGCCGCAGTAGGCGCAGGCCCTCGCCCTCCTTGTCGTACATCTGTCCGCCGGCTGCGCACTTCAACTTGATAACAGGCGCGCTCGCTGCGCTTGCGGATAGAATCGTTGTAGTGCCACGACTCAGGGTGCCTCGAAAGTGACTCACTTACCGTTAGAACTTTGGTCTCTGGTCTTGGCCGCGTACAATACTCCCCCTAGGTATGCTGAGCTTGCGTCATGCTCATGCCTGACATAGGTCTGCGCTCACCGTACAACCCTATCGCTATCGTTGTTGATTGTGGCTTCTTTGGGTCGCGACACTGATACCGCGGCTCGTGCATTGCGTTGGCATCGTAAATTCTTGCTTGCGGAGAGTCAAGTAAGTCGAGGATCCTAGCCGCGATGATTGAGTTCACTGACACCTTTCTCAGGGTCATAGACGACATATTGACTAGGCTGTGGGCGCGGGATCTCCACACGTGTCGGCCAGCCTTTGCTGCGACGTTCCTGCATCGATCGTGCCCTCTGAAGGGCCTCCTGACTGATATAGAGGGTGCGAAGGAGTGTCTGTCGCAGATCATCTCAGCATGCGCATCTCGCGTGTGGCGGGATGTGTATGGTAGGCGTCGAGGGCGCGATTGGTACATGTCCGTGCGAAGTCTGCGGGAGCGCCCTCGTACCCGGAAAGGCGTGCCTCTGACCTGTCTTTACCACGATACCACCACGAGAAGGCCCGGAAGCTGTGAATCCACGCGGCGTCGCAGACGGTACTTATTCGCTTGCCAAGATACATGTAATCCCGCTCGAGTCAGAGTCGCTCTCTCTTCGACAACCTCGTCCCTGTATGCTTTGACTGTATGCGCTTTTCTTCCAACATGTCCCCCTTTATGCTTTACAATAACACCAATAAGCCCGCACACATTCTTCCAATGCCCCCTGATCGCCGCCGTGGTGTAGACGTCACAGCGCACGGGCCGGCATCCGACTCTGGCGACAATCCTGGGCTGGCTCCCGATGATTACATCGTCTTCCCCCTCGAGGCGTTTGAAACGCCTGGAGATCCTGGAATTGGGATCATTGACGATGCGTTCGCCCTCGCTTGTAGCGTCCAACCTCAAGATATCGAGCTGGAACTCGACCCCGACCCTTCATTGTCCTTTTCCGCTGGCGCGGACAGTTTCCCATATACACCTACTCATGCCTCTCCGACCAGTTTGACATTCTCCTGGACGGGAGGGTCCTACGCATCCCCAGGAGGCCCCCCTCCCAGCCTCAGCCCGACATCATCAACCTTCTCGTCGGAACCCGCGGCTTCCCCCGGACCAATCAGCTTCTCGCCCTCGTACTCTCAGGGAGAGTACTGTGTGCCGCCTCCGATAGCCTATAGCCCCTTTACCTCGCCGCCTTTCTATCCCCTTTTGGCCCCGCGCCCTCCTGATACGGCTGTTCTGCCCGACTTCGGACCCGAATACGCTGCTAATCCTCTGGCGTTTACACTACCGCAGCAGCCAGCGCCTCCCGACCAATTCGCTCCAATAACGTGCGATCCACGATTGCTCGTTATGCCTACGACCAGCGCCGTCCCTTCCTGCGTTGCTCCAGCGCCGGTCACGCAACCTGACTTGCAGCTCCGCTTTCAGGCTCTTCCCCTCTCTACTCCGCCGTGTGTTGTCCCCAAGACATCTTCTTCGACGAAAATCACTAGGGCAGTGGAAGCGATCTGTCCAGCGTGTGGCGAAGGTATGTGTCTCACCCATTCCTGATCATGTAGAACGTCTATGAATCCATATTGTGGCTGTTGTTTTCTAGAATTCACCCATAAGAAAAACATCTCAGCGCACCTCAAGGAATCGTGCCCGAAGCGGCTCCACGACGGCCCCCGTTATCCCTGTCCTCATCCTCATTGCAAGTCGAGCTACTCCCGTAACAACGCACTCAATAAGCACCTTATAAATAAACATGCCCCGGCAACCTCACCTTTTCCCGGACATACCCCTCAACCTCCCTCCTGACTATCGGCATCCAAGTACGTCATCTCAGTTCTCCTCTCTTTACATCAGCAGGCACCCTAATTCTCGTTTGAATCCGCTTCTCTCCAGCGAACCCACCACTGCCTTTCGAAACCGTAGCCGCCCACGGAGGGCGTGCGTCCCGGCGGCTCAGAATGTCTGACCCGCTATGACCTACGCCTCTCCGCTAGACCTCCACGGCTTCCTCCGGGGCCGTGCGAGCGGCGCCTGTTCTGACGAACGAACACATGGACGACGTACGCGACGCACGACCCGTGCCCGCGCTACGCGCCCGTCTTCTCATCCACCCGGACTCGGGGCATCTCAGCCTCGCCTCGGGATGGCTTCGTATTCTTTTCCCTCTTTCCTCTCCTCTCGCTCTGTTGTCCAAGGATCAAGATCCAAGAATCAAGACCGCGACAAGGACAAGGACAAGGACAAGCCCGAAAAGAATATTAAACCATCCTCCCAGGCGAGCGTGTGGTCCCCGAAGTCGGTGTGCACGCGAAGACGGGCGCGCAGCGCGGGCACGGGTCGTGCGTCACGTACGCCGTCCATGTGTTCGTTCGTCAGAACAGACGCTGCTTTATTCACGCCTCGCTCCACCGCTTCCCCAACACCGTTCGTTGAAAGATCTCGATTATCGCTTCCCGCATCCCCACGCCATCGTCTCTTTGCAGAAAACCCCAGAAAACATCGCTGAAACTTCCCATTCGACATCCCCGACCTCGCGCGCATATGCGTGCGCGATCTGTCGCTCATTCGCTCTTCCGCTCTCTTCAAACAGACACTCTTTCCTCCATACCATCTTTGATCACCACGTTCTCTGGACCTGCCGCTCGTTCAAGCACTCTGCGCCGCGCGCAGTAGTATCCCAACATTAGATGCGCTCATATGCCCGTGGACAGTCGCGATTTGGCGATCACACGGCCGTGCCTTAGCTTCCTGACTGTGATCTGCCCTTCTCTGTATGCCGCCTCGGTTCCGTTTCCTGGGCCCTATGTCTCCTTCTACGAGTAACCGTTGTGTACGATAGGTTGATGAGTCTCCTTCGCGCGTTTCTCCTAGCCGTCTACGTAGTCGTCTTGATGGGCTCTCGCGCGCTCAACCGCGCAAACTGTATGATAGATCGATGCGCTCGTCATTTATTCACTTGCTCTACTTCAGTATGACAAAGCACTCACGCTGAGCCACAAGAATGTCTCCTTCAAATACTCAATTTCCTCCGCGTTCACTGATGAGCATGGTCGCCGTCCAATCAGGGGACCGTCTGGGAACTAATCTTGTCTAGTACTGACTACTTACCGCGCGGTAGTGCTGATTATTTCTCCGTGTCCTAGCCTCTTCTCTTCCCGTTTCCCGTAACGCTCAGGCATACGTTCGAAGTCGCACTCAGAGGAGCCATACAGCAGATCCCGACTTCTACACCGCCACTAGTTTTAGTTTTTCGTCTCCGCCGTCCGTTCCTCTCTCAACATAATACAAACTGGGACTTTCGCATTCTTGACCTACTAGCGACCTCGCACTTCGACTCAGCGCTTACATTCTCTCAGTTATCAAATTGCCCACATCGCCCATCGCCTCCGCTCGCCCTCAAACTTTGTACATCGCTCCCTCTCCTTCCACTCCAAGCAAGACAATCAGCGCGCAAGCCGCCGGGTTGAAACATCCTCTGCCACACCCCTGCTTGGCTCCCATCCACAGACACTCCCTAGGCACAATCTCAACGATCCTCCCCCCTTCAGACCACCTAGGAAGAGTGGACGTCTATCGTCGTCCTTTCCCAAGGAAGCAGGACTGCTCCGCTTTGCGCGAGGCTCAGCAAGCACGAGGTCCTGGCTGCTTTTGCTTGAAGTGGGCTCCAGCCTATCTGATAAGTTTACCTCGGCGTTTTTCGAGCCGAACGCGCCAGCCACAGTTCGAGAGAGTGACGCAAGGCAGCTCAATAGCCTCACCATGTTGTATGCTATGTGCTTGGTGAGCGAGGGCCCATGGGACGGCGCGTTCCCCGCATGTGTGCGAATTGTGCAGATGCGGAGAATGAAGATGCATCGTCCGCGAGAGCAACATCTTGATTCACGGCAGTGTCTAAAAGCACTATAGGTCAGACAGGCAAAGGTGACACCATCGCTCATGGAAGCAAACTCACCGGGGAGTTGTGAGACAGAATCGGAGTGGGGGCGGAGGGATTTATCATCCACTTCCGGGCCTCCTTGATCCTGCTCATGAACATCCTCGAGGACGCTCGTCGGGACGATGTCGACCTCGACGCCGAGCTTCCAAAAGCCGTCGCTGTCGATGAATCGACAGCAGGTGATGGTCCACTCGTGCGCGGTCCTGGTGTGCGTGGTGGTAGGGGTACTAGGTGACTCAGTCAGAGGCGGTACGGAAGGACCGCGGGGGGCTGAGGTTGTAGGTGCGGTAATGCTGAACGTCATCCTCCAACTCGAGAGGAAGGCGACATTTGCATTGGCGGGGGGTCTGGCGTATCCCCGCCCAACAAGTTCGACGGCGTCTTCCCCGGAGTCCAGGCTCGCGGAGGATGTGCCCGTACGGGTTGCGCAGAGTGTTTGGTATCGCACGCGCACTATCGGGCGCATCATGGCCTCGCCGACTGTAACGACGACTGTTACTCTGATAGTGCTGTTTTGCATGACAATCATGTGCGAGTTCGAGTTGCTGTCTTGAACGTAAGGTTGGTGCTGCTGGACTGAGTAGCCCATGGCGGACATATGTGACTGGGACCAGCTCCGGAGAATAACCTCGTTCGACACCTTCTTGTCACCGAGGCCAGGGGTCGGGCGGACGCTCTGCGAACCGGGACGGAAGCCTCCGGTGCGTATTAGCAGGTCAGCAAGAATAATGCTGTGTCGATAGCGCGCCAGGAAATCCAGCCTGATAGGCCAGACGCGGACGGGGACGAATGCGCCTGGGCTGAAAGACACGATGTGCTCGTTGCGGGACTGAGAGGGCTTCAACGGGGTGCACAGGGGAAGGGTGAGATAACGGAATTCATCGTCAGTGCAGCCGAGAAGCGCTATGTATTTTGGACGGAAGGAGGTGTGGAAGAAGTGGCGCTCGACATTGATCGCGGGGCTAGGGATCACGAGTAGTCGCGCGCGGATACCGTAGGGAGTGATCGTGAAATCGGGTGGAGGAGTCTCCATGGGAAGGCCGAGCGTTCCCAACAAGTCGTAGTAACCATGCGCGCTCGCACTTGGGTTCGAGTAAGCGAAATCGGAAGGGGCAGAGGCTAGTAGACCATAAGAGGCATCAGGTGCACCGGATATCCGCCCAGGCGTCGTGTCTGTGATACAAGAACCCCATGCGAAGAGACTCTGGTCGGGGATGGCACGCAGAATCTCTTGCTGCAATCTAACGAAGGCGTGTCGACCCTCGCCATATATGGCCGGTATGTGGACTCCAAAGATTCCCATAAGCGAATACGCCTCGTCCTCCACCCTGGTTGTCTCTCGACTGGACGCCCACCACATTCGGCGGGCCACGCTGACGGAGAAAACAGCCGTCGGATCTTCTAGAACCATGCGATCGACACCCGTGACTTGCTCGATGACCTTCGCCAGGGAGACCTTCGATCCCAACAACTTCCAATTCTGAGAGAGGAATACCACCCTGTCGGGAGCGATGAGCTCCTGGAGCGTCCAGCCCCGCTTGTGCCATCGACTCCGGCGGAACTGGGAGTCATCCAGAAGAGGACTGTCGTCGTCAGCAACATCAGGGAGATGTGCGTAACAAACATCTGCCCAACGGTACCAGTGGAACATCGAGTTGACGGCTGCTGAGAGTTCCGCGCTGCTAGACTTGTCAATACAGCCCGAGTCTATCCAGATATAACGATACCCATCGGCCCGAGCAACTGCACAGGCGTTACGGATCTTCTCGCTGATAAGCGGGTGTGCGAAGATGGTGTCTGGGGGGCGGGAAGTTCTGGAAAGGACCTCAGTAGCTGAAGCTCGGCGAGTCTGGATATTCTTCCGCCAGCGCCAAGAAAGGCTAAGGCGGCGCCATCGCTTGCCCTCTAACGGTGTGGGTATAGTCGTAGCAGGAGTTCCTATGGCTGAATCATCCTTGATGTTTTGCTGGAGTGTCCGTAGGTCCTCGTAGGTTTGCTCTCCGCTGATGTCCCAGACGTGGGACAAGATGGCGTAATGTTCTGTGGAAGGATGGTCAACCCAGCGGAAATTCCCCGTCCACGTGTCCAGTAGCCGCATGCTGCAGTCGCAATGTAGATACCAACGGGGCCAGCTCTATGATGAAGATGTTTAGGTGAACAATGAGACAGAATTCGATCGCAAGTAGAGGCATCTACCAAGCTTGAAGCTGTACGTAACTGGGAGAGTCGTGCGGCTACCCTAGGGGGCCAGATAGTAGCCCGTCAGTATCATGAAGGGTTGGTCGGCGAGCACAGTATGTACTTACTATTCCATTCAGCCCAAGATAATTGCTCACGGTTGAAGTTCTGCCGTCCCGTAACTTGTAATGGGTACACTGCCTTACGACATCGCCTCCGGAGGTTTCGGACCAAACCTGGACGAGACGTTGATCAAGTTTTCCCAAGCTGACTCAGCAGTGATCTGCCTGTCACCCTACCTTATATGTAGAACAACCGTCTGTGCATAGTAACGGGTTATGGGAGATGGTCCATATGGATTTCAAATTCAGTGGCATGACAACCAGCCCACAAACACACACTAACACCTTGTGACAATATGGCCTTGATTGAGCAGAACAAGTAAGTAGTATTGCAGTGGTGTCGCGCGGCTGGCCTCACGGTCATCAGTGAATTCAGTGCCACGTGTTCAAGTAGGGCGTCAAGCTCACTAAGCGCTCGCAGTCATCGCAAACTCCCGAGGTCCTTCTCAGGAGATCGATAACAGGCCACCAAAAGATTCGAACGGAGAATGAACCATCCCATTTACGCCACGCTGTAACTGCGCCAAAGGATATACACGTGATGCGTTAGCCTGTACAGTCCAGTTTTGCCTGTCGTCCCTCTACGTATCTTTCAACGTCGACACAAGCTCTGATAAGTTGCTATTGCTATCATCCCTGCCACGCCGCTGTCCGCATACGTTGAGCAGCTTTCTACCCTGCCATCCTCATCCGATGATCAGCAGACCTGACAGGGATTACATTTCCGAACCGGCCAGTGGGAGAGTGTCGGCCCTCCCGACCGTCCGACCTCGTAGTCGCAGTTCCCAGTTAAGAGAAGATCATGTTGATCATCATGATATCAAGACGCCAAGCGGCGCGTATCCTAATACACTCATCTAGTCTTGTCATTGCGGGCACTGCGATTACAAGGATGAATGTTCCGTATCTTCGATATCATTGTCCATTCTACACGTATGCTTGGGAGACATGAACGCAAACAGAGACGGTCGACAAAATTACAGAAGAGCTAACCAGAATACGGAAGTACACGAGAGCTATGAAGCAATGCACTGCAGAGCAGGTGGGACAGCGAGAGCGATCGTGACATTGATACAGATAGTAAAAGGAAGCAGTGGCTGGGAACGCCCAGGTATGCATGTCAAGTTTTGCGATTCATCTACGGCTCTATCATCCTACTCTCAGCCGTTCCAGATGAATCCCAAAACTTAACATGTACAGGTGCGCTAGCTCTCCAGTCTGAAACTACGAGATCTCCCGTCGGCATGTAAACGTGGTCGGTTGCATGTCGAGTAGAAACTCATGGTTTCGTAAGGAGAGTTCCAGTTGGAACTTCCAATCTGCCGTCGACGGACATCAGTTCGCCGAGCGCCTCATTGTCGAAGTCGGTACTGACCATACGTGCACAGCACGTCTCGTTGCTCGAGACCCATCAGGCTGCGTCGTGCGGTGCTTCGCGATACCTCTCTTCGGACGCGTCATGAGATGATCTCTCTCTATGTGGCCCTTGCAGTCGCTTCGCTTTGAGTAGTTGCGCCCGCAGCTGCCCTGCCAAGCACAGACGAAGCGTGTGCGGCCACGATCATGAGTCGCGAGATGGTCTCGAAGGTTGGAGGTTCGCGTTTTGATAACTAGGGGGAATGATAGTGAGATCATATATGAAACTCTGTAGGTCAAGTGAGACATACGTCTACCGCAGAGGATGCACTCGAAAGATTTGACCAGAGTGTTGGGGTCAACTAGGACCGTACAAAGGCTCAGGAGCTCAGGGAAATTTGCTGAGAGGGGTAATGAAGTGGCAGAGATTGTAAGGATGGGGAACTTATCAAATGGGAGAATTCGAAACAGTTGCGCGTCGGCCTCGATTGGCCAAGGAAGGCGCCCCTCCGTGGGTTGTAGCCCAGCACTCTCGTGCGATGAAGGAGTGGGAGATGTCTCCTGCGTTATGCTAATCAGATCGGGCAGCCAGGAACCGTAGTGTCCCGAGACATATGGTATGGGATGGGGAGTCGGAGCGGGAAGGTCGTGAAAACTGAGGGGAACGATAGGACTGGTGTCGCCGTAGGGCCAGAAGTTCGTCAGACCGTGCTGGGAAACACCGTTCAAGGGAGCGTTCTCGGTGACGTGGTGGTGTATAATCGCCATAGGATCAAGGGGCAGGAATGAAGTGGTAACAGTAGATTCGTCGTGCCAGGTAGAGCACATACTTTGTGATGAGATGAAGGTGGTGAGATGATGTGTCGACGCACTGGCAGTATGAGAGATAATCGATCTTTGGAGCGCGCTGATATGAGGGTCCAAACTAAGGTTCGAGGGGTTGAGTCATACGTGTCTTCTTGCTGAGGGCGCATGCCTTCATACTGCGACACTCTGCGACAGAAGCGAACGATGAAGAGCTTCTAGAAACGTGTCTGCGCAGGCGATGATTGAGGCCGTGCGCCACGAGGCTCGTGCCAGTGGGCGACCAGCCGGCATGATAGCTTCACAGCCTATGTCGAACCTAAACGAGAGCAGGGCACGAAGTCAAAGAAGTGTACAAGCATGCATTTTCAGCGTGAGTCTCTCACCGCGAGTAACAACTATCTACGTAGGGCGTTCAGCTTGGTCGTGGGTCGCGTGATAATTTGATATGAGCGCTAGAGTACACATCGGAAATGAATCGATGCGCAGTCCATATATTCGCGGCCACCCCTGCCACCCTTCTGCTTTTGCTAGGTCGAGAGCGCAGGGAGTCGAAGGCTTGTCCCTCAGATTCTGATCACAATCACTCTGAATCGCAAGCTCCAACACTGGATTCGCATCGCTCCCGGCCGAGTTGGTTCTGCGTCCACAATGTCTCGCTACCAGCTGAGAATTTGCAATTGAAGAGGGAAACTGCCGGAAGATGATGTCAAGATATGAGGCCGGCCTCGCGCACACCTCTACAAGTTCGCGATCGATTGGGAATCGGGGCAGGGAATCGGGGGGTAGAGTTTCGGACGGCATTGCTCTTGCCATACGGTGGCCGAGGCGGAGATCGTCTCCCCAGTGACTCGAGACTCGTACACAGAGCTGCTCCGGATACAGTCTTACCCGGGTCCTTTGGCCACTGAAGGATTTTCCGTCCCCGCAGTAGAATCTCAACCTACGTGTTAACCCAGTCAAGTAGATAATGGTTTCATATATGTTATCCCAAAGTTCCGTAGCCTTTGCTGTTCAAACACATTACAAGACTATGTTTTAGTCCAAAAAACTGCTGTTTTGAATTATATTCCAGTGATCGCGGCTGATGTATTGCTCCGATAACTTCCATAGTTTCAGGAAATGTGAATAGGCTATATCTAGCTTGTTTGAGACAAAGAACACTCTTATCGACATGCACTTCCCAGAGATATCAAATAAGTTCTCATCAACGGGACATATGAGATGCTATTAATCAGGCGCCGAGTCACACAACTCAGCGCTCCTCTGCTTTGCGTGCATCGAATGAAGGGCGGCGCTCGGGCGGCATTGCCTGATAAGATCATCTATTACCCATAGAAGGGAATCACGCTGATCTGTGACACTGGCCAAAGGACCCAGGACCGACTGATAAGCAGATTCGACAGTGATTCATTACGATCTCCTTTACACTGTTCCCAATCGTGCTCATACTTCTGGTGTAGTTACATGATACCGTATTGATTCAACCTAGATATTCCGATCTATGGCAGGAGGGGTGTGTGTGCTTCACACGGGTGAACGAAAATTGGGCGGCCAAAGGACCCGGGTAAGACTGTAGCTCTAAGAAGGGTGTCGGATGCCTAAGAAGTGAAAGGAATACGTACGTCTCGCAGACAGAACCTACTTGCAGGACCCCGTGCACCCCACCCGTTCGTCATCCCCACTAATAGTACTGCTGTATTGGCCCCGGAGAAGGGTTCGTGGGGTCTCCAGCATGCTTGGGCGAGTCAGGCACAAGCGTCGCCTCGAGCGTGTCTGATACATGCCCAATCGTCAGCGACCTCATTTGAGCGCGTTCCGCAGATTGGCAGGGTCGAGCCCCTGCCAGAGCGTCTACGTGCGATCGACCTACCTCAGTGCGAGTAATAAGAAGTCGGATCTGCCTGGCGAGCAAAGAGGGGAACCTAGTCGTGTTCCCTTGGACATAGTAGATCGTCATCGTGTCCATGCGCGTGTTGGCGACGTTCTGGTCGCCGTACAGGGAATCGATATTTGTTTTTAGGTCGCGCATGAGGAAGTGCCGCGTGTACGCCTGCCAGTTGTCGGGCATGAGGAGCTCGAAGTCGACGAGTGGGTAGAAGGGCCCGGCGAAGACGATGCCGCCACCTGCCAGTGAGCCGCACGGCAGGCAGATGTCGGGGGTGATGTAGCAACAAGTCTGCGAGATGCTGTACGCTCCATTGCGAAGAGGCGAGGTGTCGCTGCTGTCAAGAACGGCGCTCCGGCAAGGTCTGCGGCTCACAGCAGCCAGTTCCAGTACCTGCATTGCCCATAGAGTACTAGTGAGTGTATGTCACGAAGACGAGCGGGACGATTTACGTCTGCATTCCTTTGTAGCTGATGTGAATGCTAAGCGTCCGATTGGTGTGAGGGGCGACCAAGTCGTCGAAGCGGCTCTTCGCACAGGTAACTTCAGCGAGATTGAATAGCGAATGCCTCGCGTTCAGGTGTTGAACGGCATTGGATGCCTTGCGCTGTGCAGTAGTGGGAACGGCTTCAACGGAAAGGAATTTATTTGAGACGGGAACAGTCCGTGGAAGTGTCGCTCACCATCCTTTGCGGAGAGGAGCATCTTTCGCGGTACGGTTGCGCTTGTCAGTTTCTTCTAGTCCGAAGGCCTGGGAGACTCCAAGATCCAAGGAGGCTCTAAGCAACATCGGTACCAAGAAGCGATCACAAGAAAACCGAAAGAATGTGCAGCACATGGAGAAGGAGGGCATGCACATAGGGGATGCTGCTCTGTGGAACTCGCGAACTGTGGTCCCGCGGTGCACGAAAGGAGTGAGGGCAGTGGCGGCTGTAACCAACCAGGCACGCAGGAGACAGTAAGACCAAAACCGACGGTGACATGACGTGAGGTAAGTACCCCCGATGACCTTTAACTTACCTCACGTCCCGAGGCCTTACTATGGGAACTACGAAGAGCCTCAGGGGCACGAGTTGCAGGCCAACGGATACACTGATCCAGGCCATGCGTCATTCGGGTGATCGTCCATCCCTCGCCTCCTGAAAATGGGGGCACGGTAAGCATTTGCCGTATGTTTTCCATCTGAGTACTGACCGTCGTCAAGAAACATCTATAGAAAGAATTGATTAGGCAGCATGAGATAAATATGCGTATCCACATGAGAGAACCGTGAAGCTCGCCGTCGGAAGGGAGACTCCTAGTGACTATGGGCGCTGATGACTTCTGAGCCCGCGTCGTATATGAGAGATCGAAATGCTGGAGACAGTTAGATGCGACGAGAGGCCACTGGGCAATACTCTAGCAGGGCGGCGTTTGCTTTTCAAACTTTCGCAGCTCGGTCGGACGTCGCCTACGTGTTTCCCCCGTACGCAGGAGGCTGGAGTATATAAGAACGAGGGCTTAATTTACGACGGAGGTTCACCCTGGGCTACCCAAGAATCTTGAGTGGCGTACGCGACTGGATTTGGCTGCGGCTTACCCTGAACGCTTGCAGTTGACGAGGCGGGGTGATGAGCTATGATTAAAGCAGCAGAATACTGGGACCTGTCAGTATTCCTGCCTTCGTTCTCTAGTTAAGCTGCTTGAGTCAGGGTGAGCCTATTAGCAAACAAGAGGCATCGTGCGTGCGATGTACGGAGAGCGTGACCGGACGCCTCAACATGGCAAGTCAAACGTCTATTGCCAAGCAGTTTGCCCTTTCCCCAGCTTCATCGAGGTCTGGAGGGAAGGGTCGAGTGCTTCTCAGAGACGAAGACGGGAATACATGAATCTAGAGCAAGCGCAAGCAAAGATTCTTGCGGTAGGTGTGCTCTCGTACATACGACGGCACGCAAACATGAGGATCTATATACCAAGTCTCGTCCGAGTCCACGATTTGCCTTGGGTGTCTCGCGGTATAGTCGCAATGGCTAAGCTCCAACGCTCCCTCAGGGCAGTGAAACAGAACCTCAAAGTTGACTGACCCTGAGCCTCCTTGACATCTCTCCCGCAGATATTCATGGTTGCTAGAGACTTCGACCAAGCTGCGCATCAGCTGGCAATAGCATCATGCGTTCGAGTCGATTCAGTGTGGCTAGATCCTTGGTAATCGTCGCTTCAGAGACTAAGGAGCGTAGTGGTAAGAGCATTCAGCGAGGCAGCGGAGGGCCACAGGCATGGAGGGCAAAGACAACTTGCATGTGAATTTTGATCTCCAGTTGCAGCTCACGTGACTTCGGCTTACCCGAGAGGACAAGCTCGGTTTGAACATTGAAGTGACCTTCATCCGTTCTCTCTCCCACGTCCTTCCCTCCGTGTTCACCTTTGCGCAGTCTACATATGACTGGCTTTCGATGGCTTCTCGACAGCTGCTCTCGTCACCTCCTCTCACTTCAGGTTGCCTGGTTTACATAACGACAATGGCAATGGAGAGAACGATATGGACAGTCACAGGGGTATGTTATACAACCATGTAAGATCCTAGAGACTGACGGCCGTTGTAGGATGCTCCAAGATCAGACGACACGCAAGATGACACACATCGACTCGTAGAATGCCATACGATAGCGGTGCGCTGCCAGGGAGTAAGGATACAAACTTATCTCGCTCCGAGAACAACTCCGTTATCTACATCATCATGTCCAGGTCGGTCTCGTTCCACAAAGTTACTCGGGTCAGTAGGATCGTCATCGACGCTATTCAGCTCCCTCAAGCCCAGCCCCTCTTCTTGAAGTCGTCGAGAATGAACGCAGTAGTCTCCTCGATTGTATGGTAATTGAGACCGAGCAGGTCCTGAGACATCTGGCTGTCCAAGCCAGCCAGCTTCTGGCTGTCTTCGGGGCTCTCTGGCCTCGGCTCGCCGGTTTTGCCTAGGACGCGGCGACCCACATTCACTGCGAGGCGGCAATGGAGATTTAAAAACTTCGATCGAGAAATAGGCAGGTCGACTCACCCCAGCGACCCCATAAAGAGAAATCAGGAGCAGAAATGAGGAACCTCTCGCCACCCGCCTCGGGCTTGGTGAGCGCCAGGCGGGACGCCTCAGCGAAATCGCGCACATCCGTCCAGCGTCTGTAACCCGTCTACCATCAGCACCTCCACACACGTACAGATTGGCATCGGAAGGGGAACGATCGACTCACACATTGAGCGGCGGAGGGAGGGGCAACGTCTCCCGCACGACCATCCTGTACCACGCCCCCACCGAATAGTTCAACCCCTCGGGCGTCACCTCCCCCAAATAAGGCCCAAACACCCAAGGCGGGCACAGCGTCACCAAATCCCACCCGATAGTACCCTTCGCCTTCCCCTCGTTATACACCTCCCACGCCTTGCGCTCCGCAAGCGTCTTGCTCGCCTGGTACTTCGCGAACGGGCTCGCCGCCTTGCCCTTCTCCCTGACCGTCACGACGTCCGTCTCGTTCCAGTCCTTGTCCGTCAAGACGTCTGGGAGCTCGGGGGAGCGCGCGGGATCGTTGACAGCGGAGACGGAGGAGACGTAGACGACGCGCTTGATGGTCGAGCCTGGGGCGCTGGCCGCGGAGAGAATGTCCGACACGCTCTGGACGGCGGGCCCAATGAACGCCTCGGGGTCGTCAGAGGAAGGGCGGACGGGGGTGGCAGCGTGCACGACTCCGTTGATACCCTTGAGGGCTTCGTCGAATGCGCCTTTCTACAGGCGAGAGATGCATCAGGGACTCGGGGCGCAAGCCATGGCTAAGCATACGAACCGCGGTGAAGTCATTGACGACTACAAACTCGAGACGGTCGCCGTACGTCGCTCCGAAGACGGACTTGACAGCATCGGCCTTCTCCAAAGAGCGTACCGTAGCGCGAACAGAGAAGCCGTGCTCAAGCAGGTCCTTGATAATCCACCGTTCATGAAACCGTTTGCGCCGGTGACGAGGATCTTGCCTGTAGTGATAGCTGGCATGTTTGAAGGAATTGCGGCGGCGACGAAGCTGTAGATGTAGTTCACCGTGGTCCGTTGCCCTTAATTATACGCGTGAAGGCAAGTAGCACTCCGCATAACTCGGAATTGCGGCTAAAGTACAGATAGCGAACGCCTAGCGCAATCCGTATCCTAGCTTTCCAGGACTGACCCACCAGCCCAACCGCCTGATTACACGTCTAATTGAAACCACCATTCTGACGCAAGGAGTGGAGGTGGGCGGCTGAGTGCGATAGTCCTGCGGGAGGTGGTGTGGGTCAGGTGTGACCCCCAGTGAGAATCGACATGGGCTTGGCTGTTTTAGGCCGATTAGTACTGTATCTAGTGGGGAACCCCGACCGTAATCTCAATTCTATTGATATCCCTACTTCGGCTGTATGCGGCTGGATAAGGTGGTACGGTCGCACGATGCCATACAACCATACGTCGGGTCAGCTAGTATGTTATCGGTTGTGGCTGGTTGTGCTCGGGTTGCGCTGGGGTCTGGTCGGGCAGGGATGGTTGTCATCGATACACGTCATTGGATGCGAATTGATTCATACTGTATACAGTTGGATGTTGTCGTATGGCTACACGTTATGATACAGCTACAAACAGAAACCGCGGAATGGACAGGGATCACAGTGGAAACAGTTGGTTTTGGTGGGATACAGATGGGATGAACCTCTCATGCCACTGGCACGCGTACCATGCAGCAGTGGAGCTGCCCGGAAGCGAGCCACTGACACAGCAGGGAGGCCGACGCTTCCGACATTCGACTTGAGCGTGCCCGATTGCGATACTTGCGACGACCTGAAGGTGGCCTCATCAGTAGGGCTCGGCAAAGGG